TTTGCTCTTGATCTTGGTCTTGCTCCATGAAATACTCATGCCTCTCTTCACCAATCTCCATTGCAAATTCTGGTACTGGTGCACACTTCTGCTTCAAAAATGAACTCTCCTGTGTGTTAATGACCTGCACTGGCACTGGTTGTGGCTTTGTTGGACTAGGAAACAGTACTCCTGATGTATCTATCTCATACACCACTGGCACACCTATTTCAGATATTGGAACCTGCTCCTCACAAACTGGTCCAATGTTCAAATCACTAGGTCTTGGAGCATCACTTTTGATGACTGTTATGTTCACCACCTTCTGACCTTTGATAAGTAGGTCATCCAACATTTCCTCCACCTTATCATCATCTGTCAGTTCTTCCATACCTGAAACCCCAACACCTGGATCTCTGACATAATACATAAAGTCTGTCATCCCATAACCTTCAAGCTCTATTAGTGCAATCAGATTGTAAAATGTGATATCATCCACATTTAGGCTTCTTTCAAGATTATCTCTGTCATGGAAATGGAATCTGACTTCCCACACTTCATCATTCAATCTACAGTTCAAGTAAAGCAATTCAGTTCAAGTAAACAATTCAGTTAAAAGTTAAAGATTCAGTTAAAAATATAGTTTCAGTTAAAAACTCAGTTAAAAGTTAAAGATTCAGTTATATATTCAGTTAAAAGTTAAAGATTCAGTTATATATTTAGTTAGTACAAACAATTCAGTTAATGTTTCACTTAAAGATTTAACTAAAGTTTCAGTTAAAAATACAGTTTAAGTACATGATTCAGTTATAAATTCAGTAACATTTTCATTTAAATATTCAGTTGTAAATTCAGTAATTGAGTAGGTTGAAATTGAGTTTAACATTCAGTAATTTCATGTAATTGAGTAGGTTCAAATTGAGTTTAACATTCAGTAATTTCAGTTAATGTTTAGGTGCCTACTACATACACTTAGAATCCTAGAACTACATAAACACTTCACTTACATGTCTGACCACATAAACAACCTACAACAATAATCCTATAACACTAGAATCACAAACACTTAGAACCCTAACCCTAGAACCCTAACCCTAGAAACCAAATCCGGGTACGGAAAGAGAAAACTTACGAGACACCGCCGAAGGAGGATGCGTAGTGATGGCTCCCTTCTGGATCTTCCTTCATGGCCTTGGCGAACGCCGTCGCCGCCACGTACTCAACACAGTAAGACGGCGACGGCGGCTGTGGAAGAGGCGGAGCCTGAGATGGGTTTGAACTGCCGCAAACCTCTGTTGGATCTGCAGGAGCACCACTGCCACCAGATGCATCGCCATCACCACCGCCACCGCCATCATCACCGCCACGCGAGGTGGCCATCACCGGCGGCGAGCAAGGGCGATAGAGGAGAGGGGAGCGGGGCGAGAGAGAGGACAGGGGCGCGGGGGGGGGGGGGATGTCTGACAAGGACCGACCGGCGCGGCGTCTTGACCGTTTTGTTCCTAACGGCGCCGTTTGCCTGTCCGTCAAGCCACGTCCGCGTTTTCGGGGCCCACCTGTCGGAAAAGAGATCAAACGAGGCTAAACGGCTGTTCAGTGCTTTTTGCAACGGGTTAAGAGATTTTACGGTGTTTTTTGCAACAGATTAACGACTTGGTAGTTTCCTGCAAATCTAGCCACAAATGTGGTGGTTTCTTGAAATTGACTCCGGCACCACCACAGCAGCCACCGAAGAAAAGAATGACGAATCACCTCCTCACCCGAGCTCGACGCGGCTCCATCGCTGATATGCAGCTTTACGGACCTCCAAGGTGGCTCACCAAAAGTGAAACCCTTATCGTTGAACGAGTCAGACCGGGGCAACACCCCGGACACGCCATCGAACTCCAGATCTAGCAACCCACCACGACTAAAACGCCGAAGGAGGAAACCATATCTGCCATCCACCAACCATGACCCCAGCACATGCTCTGTCTTCCAGATGTCGCCGATGCAGATCACAATCTGCATCCGCTCCTGGACTACCTCCCAAGCTCCGCGCCGACGCTGGAGCAAACGCCGTCGCAACGGCGGAGCCCGAGGAACAGGTCCACCACGAGGATGCCGCCGCCGCCACGCCATCCTTACTTGAACAGACTGGTTTTCAAATTCATCCCCAACCATAGTACCGATGGCCTCGTCAGAGAAGGATCCAAAGAATCTTTATTCAGCGTTGTCATCGTCGCCGCCGAAGCAAAGACGATGAACAACCAAAAACCTAGACCACGAGAGCATAAAAACGATCCACACGCGTGGATCCGGCGACCCCCCCTCACCACCGACGACCGAGGCCGCCGGCGGAGGGGAGCCGCCGGAGAGCGGCGTTGGAAGATCGGCCTCCCCCTGGCGGCGGCTAGGGTTCCAGCCGCCAGGGACGAGAGGAAAAGAGGGACACATATTTGGCCAAGCGTCCAGTTCATCATGGTTCTCTTCCAAGGTAGCATTTGTATAATGTAACAGTACGCGCACTGAATAAGTGGCAGCGGCCGTTACATTATACAAATTCAGAACGAACAAACAGAGCAAAGAAAGGGCGCGCCGCTGAAGGACCAAGAAGAAGAGAGCAAAGCTGGGGGTATATCAAGTCGCGCACACAAATCCGAGCCGCACGATATGCAGGCGACGGTTTGGATCACTAGCTGGCCACGTCAGTGACGGGGTTAACCTGGGACCCGTTTGTACGTGCGTGTGAGAGTTGGGCTTAAATGCCTAACTTGGAGGGGGGACTGGGCATCTGGGAACACATCACGAACTGAAATCGGGGAAACCTGGCAGGGGCGGACTACCTATCTTCTGATCTGAAAAGAAAAAAAACCCATCTTCCTCCTCTCTGAATCTCGTGCTTGTTCTTGAGGCTGTACTGAATTCTACCCTACTCCTACCCGAGTAATGCTAGAGCGTGTGGTGTGAGCCTCTCCTGTGATTACAAATCTTGTAGTGATTTGTATGGTCCTGTCACCAACAAGGATGATTGTTTCGCTGGTAAAACAACAGAGGGGTGGTGGCGCAGTTGGCTAGCGCGTAGGTCTCATAGCTGAAAACGTGAGTCATCCTGAGGTCGAGAGTTCGAGCCTCTCTCACCCCACCTAGAAAAACACCATCGTTGTGATGAAAACGCTCAGTGGCAACTTGGGTCGCCACATATTATATCTGAACTGTCAGATAAAACGAGCAAGTCTGAACCTGGTGTTATTTTTGTTTCTTTCCACAGGGAATTTGGCAAAGAGACGGCAGAGGATGTCTCACACTTGTATGTGGTTAGTTATTAACATGAGCTTGACATTTTTCAATTAGAGATTATTTGCTGGAATCGTTGCTTTATCTGGACCAGAATTGGTCGCCTATAACGCAAGACAAGGTTAGAATTGAGATCAATCACAAACCAAATCAAAGACAACACCCTTGGAGCAAAATCTTTTCTCGATGCGACATGATAAAAGGAGAAACTGAAAACTGAATCAGCATGAATTTGCAGTGAAGCTAAATCATTTCTTATTCAGCAGAGAGAGGCAAAAAAGTAGGAGTTGACCAGCTAAATAAGCCCCCAGTCTTCTCCAATCCTTCCTACCTACACATAACATCCTTATTACATACGTACAGATCAGGCAAGCAACGGTGGAGATCGATCTAAACATAACAGTAACAACAGCGTTCCTACAAAGACTTGAAGGAAACATCACCACAAGATTTATGGATCTACAGGCCGGCTAAGCTTCAAGTCAGCTTTCATTTTCACTTCTTCCCCGTGGCAGCAGCAGACTGAAGGCCGCTCCAGTCGATCCCGCCCGCGATCCGCAGCGCCCTCTCCCGCCAATCTTCTGCCGTGTTCTTCGGTTCTCTGGTCAGAACATGTCACAGCAGACACACCGGTCACTTATATACAGCAGCACTCACTCTGATGTTAAAACAAAAATAAAACAGACAGACAAGGATGAACATAACACTCCATATAGCTTTACCTCTCGTGGCTCAGTTTTTCCATGTCTCGCCGCGTTAGTCTCGGGCCTTCATCCAAGCCCTCGCACACCAATTCACCATTCTCATCCGTGTAACAGAGGATGCCCATGTTTTTGTCTTCATAAACCTGGGAAAACAAAGATATGGTGTTTGCTTCAGATTACCAAAAACAGAGGTGTTACATGCTAACATAATTACATCATCACCATTATACTCCCTCCGCCCGGAAATACTTGTCATCAAAATGAATAAAAGGGGATGTATCTAGATGTATTTTAGTTCTAGATACACCCCTTTTTATCCATTTTGATGACAAGTATTTTCAGACGGAGGGAGTATTTGACATGTTATAGCTCTTGGCAAGAACAGGTACCTACCTTGTTCACCTTGCAGGCGAAGCTGACCAAACTAGAAGCTTGTTGCCTGGATTCGGAACTGGAGCAGCCATCCATGGAAGCTCTTGCGCAGATCTTCCTCCTTGGGACTATGATTGCAGCAGTAGACGAGTAGCACCTCAAGGCAGCCATGACCGAGCTTTGAGATGTGGAATCACACAACTACTGATCATGGAGTACATGTCATGTAAATGGCCATTAGTGGGATAGTGGTGGATGCAGTTTTAAATAGGGATGTTAGGTCAACCAAGCTGTGGCAAAGCAGATGATTGGGTGTGCTGTTAAGATTAAGTTCAGCTGATTGCCTATTAAATTGGCAGGCAAATTCCTTTTTCTAACTCTTGTAGCATTATTGGACAAAATATTCAGGTCACGACTCATGACAGTGACTTCCAAATAGCTTCCCACCAAGTTTCCCCACCTCGGTTTTTACAGAACACAGAATCGGATTTAAAATTGATAAGTTTTTATCTTTTTTGCAAAGGATAAGTTTTAGATTAACTTCAGAATGATACAAAGGAAAAACTCAATTGTTCCAGACATAAATCATGTAACTGACAGTTACAAAGCTCATGTTTTTTCTGTCCGGGCTTCTAAAGTTGTGCTACAGATAAAATAAGCCGGCGACTTTTAATCGCGAAATTCTTCCATGAAAGCTTCATGGAACGCCTTAAAGCGATAGATGATCAGTTGTATTTTCTCCTCCTGTTGCAGGATTGTGCATCTGAAATGCCATGTGCCAGGTACCTTCATTCAGAGTATAAACACAGAAACGAACATAATTAGAATACCAACACAAAAAAACTCTCTGAAAAGACATGGACTCAACATCCATAGACCACATAATAATATTGAATGAAAAAGATAAAATATAAGTTCCTATCTTTATTTCTCTTCTAGTCAGTTTCACACTCACTTGTCCAAACACAGAACCAGGCAAGACGACGATGCCAGTGTTTTCAAGAAGGCGGAGAGCGTAGAACACATCTGGTTTGGTGTTCATTGCCTCAGCAGCCGCAATCGCCCTTTTAGGCAACCGAACAGATGGGAATACAAACATTGCCCCTTCAGCCTTGCTGCAAGTCAGGCCTTCCAGGCTGTTGAATGCCTGCACCATCGCCTAAATAAAACCAGCCCAACAATGTGACATTCAGAGATAATGATATTTTTGCACGTAACAGAATCAGCAATGAAGATAATCATAGAAGTGGATGTGACAAAAGGGAACCTCTGCACATCGGGATAATGATAACATAATGCGATCTCTTTCTTCCCGGTAAGAGGTGTATGACTCATCTCCAACCTGACAAAGGGAGGCTTACTAAAACGTATATAGAAATACAAAGACACGATGAGATGCATATTTATTGACCTTTGGTGGGTTCATGACTAGGCTCACGAGGACCTGGCCGGCTAAGTTGGAGCATGAGCTTAGGGATGCCACTTTGTATACTTGTTTCCGAACTTCAGAATTGAAGCCAGTGACCTCCATGTAACCCCCTCTTCTCCCACATTCTCCATAGTATCCTGATGGAGAAGACGATACTTCTAACAAATATCAATCCATTCGATGGAGAATTTGTGGTGTATGTATGACACTTCACCCCCAGTAGTTCAGAACTTCAGATTACTTGGAACTTCGGAAATAGGAACAGATGATGATACGCCACACTTGGTTTGATATACAAGAAATACAGTATGCGAGACACTCCTTATTAAGCAAAGGGAGGGAAAGACAGTGCCTAGAAAGCCAATAGACAAAGAGTACATGGCGTGCTAGATGGAGAAAAAAGTCATTAGAATAACATTACCAAGTAATGGGTTCAAATTCGAATAAACAAATCACTACATTACCTATGTTCGAGAAAAAAATAGTCATTTCATTAGTATGATTCTATTCTATTGACATAACCAATATGCAAATCTGCTTTCGCAAGAAATTCCTTGTGTTGGCTTTACTCGATGAGTCGAAAGTCCAATGTTTAAAGAAATCTTTCTCATGAGTGCACCTAACATACTTCCCCTTCTCATTTTTATAGGAAGTAACAAGAGAGCCGCGTATAACTGAGAATAAACATGGATAAAAGGAAAAACTAGATGTCATATACCATTAGAAACTGAATGGAATGATATTAAAGAAATATCTTCTTCACCAAAACCCATGGACCGTGCTATCTTCTTGAAAGAGATGAATTTCTTTTCATCTGTGTAAACATTTTCTTGGTAAACCTACCAGTAAGTTCAAGAAAAGATACAGCGGGTTACATACACAAAATTCAAGGAAATTATATAGATTCTTATAAAGAAAGATACAAAAACCTCACCTCGTCTGCTAGAAGAACAAGGTTTTCATTTCTGCAGAATTCCACTATTTCACACTGGTTTTCCCTCACAAGAACCTATGTACAATTTAGCCACATCAAGACTTGTAGAACAATATATGGATTACACAAGTCGATGATCAGTAAACACACCTGCCCAGTAGGATTGCCTGGATTTACAACCACAAGTCCCCTAACAGTGATGCCCTCAGATCGGGCACCATCCAGCTGCTTTTTCAGGTCCGAAATACTCACGCCCCAACCTCCTGATTCGTCAAGGTAATATGGTACCTGAGAAAGCAGATATTATCCTGTTTACTGCATATTGGCAACCGGTAAAATCGTAGTTGATGTGGATTCATTTCGATCAAGTAACGTGATACATACAAGAGTTGCACCACACAGAACCATTGAGCTTGATATAGAAAGTGTGATGGAATCGGGCAAAGGATGCCATCTGTTTCATCTCGTATCAATAGGTGCATTACCATATGAACCTGTTTGGAAATCAAACAAACAACTCGATTGTCAAGAATCATATCCGAAAAGAAGGAAAGAGAGAGATAAAAATAACTTTCATCTGGATGTTTAGTGGCATTGCTCATCTTATCATGGCATATTAGGTGCTTTAAGGCAATCATATATTAGTGCTAAGTGTTAGATGTGTATAGCCCCTTTTCGGTTTATCCCCATTGTATAAGGGGTCTCTTGCACTTTACCACACACTTGTATATGTATTGGCCTTAGGCCCTCCTGAGAATACAGTTGCTCTTTCCTAACATGGTATCAGATGCTTAGGTTCCCCTCGCTCCCCCGCACGCTGCAACTCCGTGCTCCTCTGCTAGACTCTGGCCACCGCCGTCGATCTCATCCCGTCCGGATCCGCCGCCCCGGCTGTCCCGTTCGGCCTTGTCTCCCCCGACTGGCGCATCTTGGCCCGCGCCAAGGCAAGCTCCTGCTCGATCCCGCCTCGGCAGCGCCTCCTCTGCTCGGGCCTGCCTCGGACGCGCCTCCTCTGCTCGATTCCATCCAGGCCGCGCGCTCCTCGTCCCCTCGCGCAGTGCCCGTAGTCCGGCTGTTCCAGCCGCCGCTGGTGCTCCCCTGCTCGTAGCCCGGTCGCCAGGGCCTGTCCGGGCGCGGCTGGATCGAGCTGTTCCAGCCCCCGCCGCGGCTGGATCTCCTGCTGCCGCCGGGGTCCGTCTGACTGCGGCTCCCCTTGATCCGTTTCGGCCGCGGCTCCTCCCGCTCTCCCCAGCCGCTCGTCCGCCCGACCTCTGCTCGCTCTCGAGCCGCTCGTGTGTGAGCGTCTGCTCGATCCAGATCCCGTTCGGGTCTGCGTTGACTCCAAAAAAAAAGAGAGACAATCAGCATGTCTTCGTCTGGCTATGTAGCTGTTCCTCGGTGCTCGGTGATCTTCGATGGCACCAATTATGCTGAGTTTGTGGGCTTCATGCGTATTCATATGCGCGGGCTCCTCCTGTGGGGTGTTCTCTCTGGCGAGGTACCTTGTCAGCCCTGCCCTGTTGCTCCGGTGGCTCCTGTTCCGCCGGTACCGCCGGTACTTGCTCCTGATGCTTCTCAGGCTGATCGCGATGCCGCCAAGGTTCTTGATGATGCTGCAGTTGATGCCTATGATCAGCAGGTATCCGCATACTCTGATGCTCTTTCTGTCTACCGGGATGATCTGTCTGCTAACACTCAGTGGTGCAATGATGATGCCCGAGCTGCTGCTGTCCTCACTGCGAGTGTCCTCCCTCAGTTTGCTTCGGAGTTCATGGGACTTGGCACCGTTGCAGCGATGTGGGCTTATCTCTGTCAGCGCTATCAGCCCTCTGGTTATGCTCTCTACCTACCTGTGGTGCATCAGGAGCACGCCCTCCAGCAAGGTGATTCCTCTGATGATGAGTTCTATTCGCAGTGCTCTGCCATCTGGCGTCAGCTTGACTCCCTTCGGACGGTTGTCTGTGGCACCTGTCGTTGCTGTCAGACTACTCGGTCAGATCTGGAGTTTCAGCGGGTCCATGAGTTCTTATCTCGTCTCCGCTCTGAGTTTGAGCCCAGACGTGCTCACTTGCTTGCTCGTGGTCGTGTTCCTATATCGGAGGTGCTTGCCGAGCTTCGGGCTGAGGAGACACGCCTTCGCTCTGCTGGGTTGCTTTTGGTTCCGTCAGTATTGGCTGCCCGGGCTCCTATGTCGTCTGCTCGTCTCACTGCTTCGCCGCTCCTGCCTACTCCTCCAGGGGGGGTGAGCCGTCCTCCTTATGCTGAGAAGGGCACGTCGCGCCATGACACAGTCTGTGGTTACTGTTCCCGGCCAGGTCACCCAGAGTCTGATTGTCGCCAGAAGAAGCGAGACCAGAGGCGCGTCTCCTCCAGCGGGCCTCCTGTGGCTTCCTCGGCTACGTCACTCACTGACCAGGACATTGTTCGCCTCAAGCGTCTTCTTGCTTCCTCAGGCTCCTTGTCGACTGGCTCTGCTGCTGCTGTGACTGCATCCTCCTCCTCACCATCACAGGCATCTACACAGTCAGGTACATCTTCGTGGGTTCTGGATTCTGGAGCCTCTTTTCATATGTCTTCTGATTCTTCCGCGTTGTCTTCCCTCCGACCTCTTGATTCGCCTGTTAATGTTCTTACTGCCGATGGCACATCTCTTCATGTTGCTAGTCGTGGTATCCTTTCCACTCCGTCCTTTTCTATTCCGAGTGTTTCACATGTTCCTCGTCTTACCATGAATCTGTTTTCCGCTGCCCAACTTACTGATTCTGGTTGTCGTGTCATTCTTGATACCGACTCTTGCTCCATTCAGGATCGTCGCACCAAGACTTTGGTTGGTGCTGGCCCTCGGCGCCGTGAGTCAGAGGGCCTTTGGGAGGTTGACTGGCTTTGTGTTCCTTCCGCTGCCACCACTTCTGCCAGCTCCCATGCTCTTGCTGCCTCTTCGTCTGCGTCCTTCCAGCAGTGGCATCATCGCCTTGGTCACATCTGTGGCTCTCGCTTGTCTTCTTTAGTTCGTCAGGGCCTCTTAGGGTCTGTATCTGGAGATGTCTCCTTACATTGTAATGGTTGCAGACTTGGCAAACAGACTCAGTTACCTTATCCTACTAGTGAGTCAGTATCTCAGCATCCGTTTGACTTAGTTCATTCTGATGTCTGGGGTCCTGCTCCCTTTGATTCGAAAGGTGGTCATCGCTACTATGTTTTGTTTATTGATGATTTTTCTCGCTACACTTGGCTCTACTTCATGAAATCTCATAGCGAGGTTCTCTCTATATACAAACGTTTTGCTGACATGGTTCACACTCAGTTTGCCACGCCCATTCGTACTTTTCGTGCAGACTCTGCTGGGGAGTATATCTCTCAGCTGTTGCGTGGTTTTCTAGCGGAACAGGGTACTCTTGCCCAGTTCTCATGTCCTGGGGCTCATGCTCAGAATGGCGTTGCCGAACGCAAGCATCGTCATTTGCTTGAAACGGCTCGTGCGCTCATGATTGCTGCTTCCCTTCCACCCCATTTTTGGGCTGAGGCTGTTTCCGCATCCACCTATCTCATCAACATTCAGCCATCGACTGCTCTTCAGGGTGGCATTCCTATGGAGTGTCTCACTGGTCGCTCTCCTGACTACTCAGCTCTTCGTATGTTTGGATGTGTGTGCTATGTTCTTCTTGCCCCCCGAGAATGCACCAAACTGACTGCTCAGTCGGTTGAGTGTGTTTTCCTTGGCTACAGCGATGAGCACAAGGGCTATCGATGTTGGGATCCTGTGGGTCGTCGCTTGCGCATCTCGCGTGATGTGACTTTTGACGAGTCTCGTTCTTACTACCCATGTTCTTCTTCCTCGAGTTTCTCTGCCAACGACCTTTCCTTCCTTCTTCTTCCCGATACGCCCCGCTACGTGCCTCCTGTGTCACCTCTTCCTCCTGCACCTCTCATTCCTTCTCATTCACCACCGACCCCGTCTTCTTCCTCCTCCTCCTCCACCTCTCCACCATCATCTCCAGTCCGTCGTCCTCTCTCCCCGTTTCCTCTCCACTATACTCGTCGCCCTCGTACTGAGGATGTCTCCTCTGACGAGCCTTCCACCTCTGCTGCACCTCTCACGCCTCCCCCGGTTCACAACCTTCGTGCTCGGCCTCGCCCTCCGCCTGATCGCTACTCTCCTGATTGGTACGGTCTCTCTGTTATTGCTGAGCCCACTTCCTATCGGACTGCCATGACTCAGCCTGAATGGCAACTTGCGATGGCCGAAGAGCTTGCTGCTCTTGAGCGCTCTGGCACATGGGATCTGGTTCCCCTTCCTTTCGGTATCTGTCCCATCACCTGCAAGTGGGTCTACAAGATTAAGACTCGCTCCGATGGTTCTCTTGAGCGCTACAAAGCTCGTCTTGTGGCCCGTGGTTTTCAGCAGGAGCAGGGGCGCGATTATGATGAGACATTCGCTCCTGTGGCCCACATGACCACTGTTCGCACTCTTCTTGCTGTGGCTTCTGTTCGTCAGTGGTCCATCTCTCAACTTGATGTTCAGAACGCTTTTCTCAATGGTGAGTTGCGTGAGGAGGTTCACATGCAGCCACCACCGGGGTACTATGCTCCTGATGGTATGGTCTGCAGACTTCGCCGCTCCCTATATGGTCTCAAACAGGCCCCTTGCGCCTGGTTTGAGCGCTTTGCCTCTGTGGTGACTGCCGCTGGTTTCTTGCCCAGTAATCATGATCCAGCGCTGTTTGTTCACACGTCTCCTCGTGGTCGGACTCTTCTCCTTCTCTATGTTGATGACATGATCATCACTGGTGACGACTCTGATTACATCGCCTTTGTTAAGGCTCGTCTTCGCGATCAGTTTCTCATGACTGATCTTGGTCCACTTCGCTATTTTCTTGGGATTGAGATCTCTTCGACTCCTGATGGCTTCTACATCTCCCAGGAAAAATATATTCAGGATCCTCTTGCTCGCGCTGCTCTCAGTGATGAGCGCACTGTTGTCACTCCCATGGAGCTCAATGTTCAGCTTCGTGCCTCTGATGGTGACCCTCTCCCTAATCCCACTCGCTATCGTCATCTTGTTGGCAGTCTTGTCTATCTTGTTGTTACGCGTCCTGACATCTCCTATCCTGTCCACATTCTGAGTCAGTTTGTCTCAGCCCCCACCTCTGTCCACTATAGTCATCTCCTCCGTGTTCTACGATATCTTCGTGGGGCACGATCTCTCAGCGCCTTTTCTTTCCCCGCTCCAGCTCTCTTGAGCTCCAGGCCTACTCTGATGCTACCTGGGCTAGTGATCCCTCTGATCGACGCTCCCTGTCTGCTTATTGTGTCTTTCTTGGTGGCTCTCTTATTGCCTGGAAGACAAAGAAACAGACTGCAGTTTCTCGCTCGAGTACAGAGGCTGAGTTGCGAGCCATGGCTATGCT